CAGAAATCACTGTCTGTGAACATGGGGTCTTATTGACCCCATATCTCTCCATAAGGAGGACCTGTCACTGCTTATTCCTATCACAAGGGATGCATGCATTTCTTGTGATAAGAATAAAAGTGAGTACAATTTTTTTCTAAAAGGAACAGTGCAAAAATAAAATTAAATAAAAAAACATAAAATACATTTTTTTTAAAAAAAGTTTAAAGTGCCCCCGTTCCCCCTGCGCATGTAATGGTGAACGTATATGTAGGCCATACCCCCACATATGTAAATGGTGTTCAAACCACACACGTGAGGTATCACTCCGAATGTCGGAGCAAGAGCAATATTTCTCACACTAGACCTCCTCTGTAACATTACACTAACCTGTAGAAATATTTAAAGCAACACTCATGGAGATTTTTAAAGTGCCGCAGTTTCATGCCATTCCACGAGCATGCGCAATTTTAAAGCATAAGCATGTTGGATATCTATTTACTCGCCGTAACATCCTCTTGCATATTTTACAAAACAATTGGGGTATATATTGTTTTTTTTTTTTAATCAAAGCATTTTTTTCCAAATTTACAGTATATTCATTTTTAAAAACTGCGCATTTCAGTTTTGGTTTCGGCCAAGCGCATTTTGAATTTTCATTTTCAGCACCAGAATGTCCATTTCGGTGAACCACTAAATGGCGGAATTGAGCATAACAGAAAAATTCAGCCGAAGGTGCTCCATGAGTCGCACAGATGGAGGACCAGGAAGTGAAGGCATAGGATGAAGAAAGTGACGGACATGGGTGAAGCCATGAGTTGACCACCAAGCAAATGCTTATGGCTGTTCCTGGGCAGGAGAAAAAAAGAGGGCTGTTAAACAGTGGAAGTAGGGGTAGGAAAGGGGGACATGTAAACATCCCTTGTGAAAGAAATAAAAGATGACCGGTCCTCTTTATGGATACAAGACTCCAGATCTCTCCTCTACCCTTGAAAGCAAAAGATCAAACAACATTGATCTCATGCTTTCCAGAAAAAAAAAAAGGCAGTGTTTAAAACTGAACATGAAGAAAAGAAGTAGCAGCGCTCCAATGAACAAACAGCAGACTTCCTTTATTATTCAATAGCATGGAGATAAAAAGACAGCAATACATGGCTCTGGGAAAAATCACTAGAAGCGTTTCACACTCCTTCACTGCTTATTCGGTAATGAATAAGCACTGGAGTGTGAAACGCATCTACTGATGTTCCCAGAGCCATGTATTGCTCTTTTTATCTTCATGGATCGAATAATAAAGAAGTCTGCCGTAACTGCCCTAACCGGAAGTGATGAAAATGCTCATCGCTTTTGCCTCCTAGATCACAGAGGTGATCGGAGAAGATTCGGTCTTGGAACACGTATTGTAAGCAGACGCAACCATCGGATACTGGGCTTTCCCATCCCGGTGCAGAGGCAACAGACGGTGGTGAGAGACCCCCTTCTGCCACCTGTAAAAGCAATCCCGAAGCTAATTAGCTGTTAGGTTTACTTTTACTTTGTACAGCATCGATGGCTTTAAAAAACAATACCAGAGTGATACGTGTAGCTGCAGGCATCATCCTGGTATAACTATTTGAAGTCAATCGCATACATGTACATGATTTGGCTGCAAGTGGTTAATCTGGTGTAGGCCTTTTAAGAACTGGTTTACATTTGCTTTGCTCTCTGAAGAGCAATCTGTGTTTGGATTACTCTTCAGAGAGCATTTACAGGCTATGAGGAGGCCTTGAATCACCTCACCACCTGTTTTAAACCCCTACATGCCAGACTACCACGCAGAAAACCGCATGTGTTGTGTGCAGTTGAAGCACAGCCCCTTTCACTTGAAGTTATACCAGGGGGCATTGGGGATATTAGTCCTGCTGTAGCTGCAAAGCAAACATCACGGCTGTGGCATGTGTACACCCCTGGCCAGTGCCTTCTCAGCTAAAGGGGAGCAGCTGAGAGGCAGTAAAAACATGGTTCAAATGGGGGGTTTTACCACCACTCCCAACTGCAAATGTAAAAGAGCCCTTAAAGGGCCAAATTGCTAGAAAAGTGGTGCAAATGATTTCTAAAATGTTCCCCATTTATGCAGCTTTGTATGTCATATAGAGTAGAGTGGTGCACTCTGTATGCTCTGCGATATATATTACATACTCTGAGACACTGCAATCTGTATCCTGTGCTAGGCATTGCATACCCCAGACTGCAGCACTGTGCTATACATCACATTCTCCCCACCACTGAACTCCATTGAATTATATTTCTGCTTACTTGGCTGTTCTATCTGATCCTGCTTACTACCTATTGCAACAATACTATAGAAATACTTTCTTGGAGGGACTAGAACCTGTCAGTTTTTATTGCGGTCTGTGCCCTCATTAGGGAGATTCACCCTCTCCATTTGTCACGTCTCCTATTATCGGTGAAAGCGAAAGTAAAAGAAAATCCCTGGTTTTGGGTTGTTCCCAGAACAGCAAACCGAAGGGAATTCTTTCTATGGGGGACACTAGTTCTGGTGACAATCAGGGATTCCCCCACCTTGGAGGGATTTCCTCCCACGTCCTGTTTTGGCTATGGGGTAGGAAGTGAAGGGGAATCTCCACAAAAAGACAGATGGCAATAGAAAAGAACTGACAAGAGTTAGAACCCTCGCTTATGCAATCCAAAATGGAGTTCTGTCTATAGTTCTACTTTAATCCAACTTCCTGAAACTGTTTGCAAATGCATGGAAATGTGCGATTAGCTGAAGAATGTCGAGTTGGGGAAATGCATAGAAATGTGCGATTAGCTGAAGAATGTCGGGTTGGGGAAATGCATGGAAATGTGCGATTAGCTGAAGAATGTTGGGTTGGGGAAATGCATGGAAATGTGCGATTAGCTGAAGAATGTCGGGTTGGGGAAATGCATGGAAATGTGCGATTAGCTGAAGAATGTCGAGTTGGGGAAATGCATGGAAATGTGCGATTAGCTGAAGAATGTCGAGTTGGGGAAATGCATGGAAATGTGCGATTAGCTGAAGAATGTCGGGTTGGGGAAATGCATGGAAATGTGCGATTAGCTGAAGAATGTCGGGTTGGGGAAATGCATGGAAATGTGCGATTAGCTGAAGAATGTCGAGTTGGGGAAATGCATGGAAATATGCGATTAGCTGAAGAATGTCGGGTTGGGGAAATGCATGGAAATGTGCGATTAGCTGAAGAATGTCGGGTTGGGGAAATGCATGGAAATGTGCGATTAGCTGAAGAATGTCGGGTTGGGGAAATGCATGGAAATGTGCGATTAGCTGAAGAATGTCGGGTTGGGGAAATGCATGGAAATGTGCGATTAGCTGAAGAATGTCGGGTTGGGGAAATGCATGGAAATGTGCGATTAGCTGAAGAATGTCGGGTTGGGGAAATGCATGGAAATGTGCGATTAGCTGAAGAATGTCATTTGGGGAAATGCATGGAAATGTGCGATTAGCTGAAGAATGTCATTTGGGGGAAATGCATGGAAATGTGTGATTAGCTGAAGAATGTTGTTTTGGGGAAATGCATGGAAATGTGCGATTAGCTGAAGAATGTCATTTGGGGGAAATGCATGGAAATGTGCGATTAGCTGAAGAATGTTGGGTTGGGGGAAATGCATGGAAATGTGCGATTAGCTGAAGAATGTTGGGTTGGGGAAATGCATGGAAATGTGCGATTAGCTGAAGAATGTTGGGTTGGGGAAATGCATGGAAATGTGCGATTAGCTGAAGAATGTCGGGTTGGGGAAATGCATGGAAATGTGCGATTAGCTGAAGAATGTCGGGTTGGGGAAATGCATGGAAATGTGCGATTAGCTGAAGAATGTCGAGTTGGGGAAATGCATGGAAATGTGCGATTAGCTGAAGAATGTCGGGTTGGGGAAATGCATGGAAATGTGCGATTAGCTGAAGAATGTCGGGTTGGGGAAATGCATGGAAATGTGCGATTAGCTGAAGAATGTCGGGTTGGGGAAATGCATGGAAATGTGCGATTAGCTGAAGAATGTCGGGTTGGGGAAATGCATGGAAATGTGCGATTAGCTGAAGAATGTCGGTTTGGGAAATGCATGGAAATGTGCGATTAGCTGAAGAATGTCGGGTTGGGGAAATGCATGGAAATGTGCGATTAGCTGAAGAATGTCGTTTTTGGGGGAAATGCATGGAAATGTGCGATTAGCTGAAGAATGTCCTTTTGGGGGAAATGCATGGAAATGTGCGATTAGCTGAAGAATGTCGGGTTGGGGAAAATGCATGGAAATGTGCGATTAGCTGAAGAATGTCGGGTTGGGGAAATGCATGGAAATGTGCGATTAGCTGAAGAATGTCGGGTTGTGGGGAAATGCATGGAAATGTGCGATTAGCTGAAGAATGTCATTTGGGGAAATGCATGGAAATGTGCGATTAGCTGAAGAATGTCATTTGGGGGAAATGCATGGAAATGTGTGATTAGCTGAAGAATGTTGTTTTTGGGGAAATGCATGGAAATGTGCGATTAGCTGAAGAAATTTGGGGGAAATGCATGGGCGATTAGCTGAAGAAATGCATGGGGGGCATGGAAATGTGCGATTAGCTGAAGAATGTTGTTTTGGGGAAATGCATGGAAATGTGCGATTAGCTGAAGAACGTCGTTTTGGGGAAATGCATGGAAATGTGCGATTAGCTGAAGAATGTCATTTGGGGAAATGCATGGAAATGTGCGATTAGCTGAAGAACGTCGTTTTGGGGAAATGCATGGAAATGTGCGATTAGCTGAAGAACGTCGTTTTGGGGGAAATGCATGGAAATGTGCGATTAGCTGAAGAATGTCATTTGTGGGAAATGCATGGAAATGAGCGATTAGCTGAAGAATGTCATTTGGGGGAAATGCATGGAAATGTGCGATTAGCTGAAGAACGTCGTTTTGGGGGAAATGCATGGAAATGTGCAATTAGCTGAAGAATGACGTTTTGGGGGAAATGCATGGAAATGTCTACTGGTTTGCTCTCGTCACCTTAGTAGCCATTCTGTGAAGAACTTCAGCTCCGGCCGGTGCAGGATAGCCGGGTTGCTCTTACACATGTTGACAAACTCTCGCAACTCTTGCACTTTCCGCTGGTCCATGGCTGACACAGACACGAGTACAACACCACCACCGACTGACTACCTAGAAGGAACTAGAAATGGCAGCGCAGGGTGATGGTGGGCGTGGCTAGCAACCAGCCAATCACCAACTACTCCTTTCACCCGTGGAACAGGAAGTCTGTCCGCTCTGGTGCTCTAGGAGAAGGCTCGTGACTCGTCAGGAAGTATTGTGTGCGGAAGTGTCTGTTTTCTATCGAAACGAGTTGAACTCGTTCTAACGACAGCGCAGTAAATAGAATCTTGTCACTTCTCTGCAAAGCCTATCCGCTATGAGAAACAGTTTATGAAATCTCCACCCACGGCCGTACTAGTGGCTCCTATTGGGCGCCTGAGATGCACACACCATAACTGAGGCTGTCACCTTGAACAGCCGCTCCACCCATGGCAACCAGATACCAATATGGTGTCTCCGTTACTACAGCTCATAGGAAATTCATCAATGTGTCGCGACAGGAAACGTTAGCGACTTCCTGTGCGACGACAGTGGCGGAATCCTTAGAGTTCGGTTATGTGGCGTGTTATTGTTCAGAGCTCTGTCTGCAGGCGTGTTCCAGGTCAGGGATTTCTTCCTCTCATGTCAGTGACACATTTTACATTTCTTGTTGCGGCACAGTGATGAAGTTCTTGGATGTAGTTACGGAGACACCATCTTGGTATCGGGTTGCCAGATACCAATATGGTGTCACCGTAACTACATCTCATAGGAACTTCATTAGTAAGCCGTGACTTCCTGTGCGAGGAGAGTGGTGGAGTCCTTAGTGTTCAGTTATGTGGCGTGTTACCGTTCAGAGCTCTGTCTGCAGGCGTGTTCCAGGTCAGGGATTTCTTCCTCTCATGTCAATGACATATTTTTATATGTGGTCTGATAGCTGGAGCAGATGTGATAGTGTAGAGCTCATTAAAGCAGTAGTGAACTTGAGAACAAAACCCCTCTTTCTGCAAGACAATGTTATAATGTGCTAGTATGCATGGTGTACTAGCACATTCTGAAGGGTTAAACAAAGCCCTCCAGTGCTGTGTTGTCACATCTGAGGAGGCTTCCATCTTCCAGGTTTGCAGGCTGCTGCCACTGGACTAGCCGAGCCGCAATGACGTCACTCTCATGCATGCGTGTGGAAGTCTTGCCCATGGAACACAGCTCTGAAAGAAACGGCATACAATGGTGTCTAAATCAAACATAACTAATATATGCCATAAGTGAAAAAGACAATATCAAAGGTGAAAAAATATTCCATGCATGTGACTGTGCTTTAAGCTGTTCCAGCTTAAAGCACAGTCACACCATTGTATGTGGCCAATTATTTTTGTTTTTCATGTATATATACTTTGTTTAGTATATCTGATTTATGCACTACTTATTTAGGTTCTTAATGTGTGATATTTAGCCATTATAGTCATTTCGGTTGACATTATTTTTTCTATCCACTAGAGGGAGTTCACATATTTTTAATATATATCGTGGTCACTTTGATTTACTATTATACTTTATGGAGACACATGATTGTATTCATGAGATACAAGCGCTTCACTAATTTTATGTTTATTTCATAATTCCCTCTACCTTGACTAAGGCCCCAGTTCCATCTTTCCACTCTACCCCATAGCCCAGACATGTGAAGAATACAGGAGACTGTCACATGTACCACACAGCCAGTACTTGCCAGATATTCCTGCAGCTCCTTTAATGTTGTTGTAGTCCTCTTGGCAGCCTCCCAGACCAGTTTTCTTCTTGTCTTTTCATCAATTTTGGAGGGACGTCCAGTTCTTGGTAATGTCACTGTTGCGCCATATTTTCTTCACTGTGTTCCATGGTATATTTAATGCCTTGGAAATTCTTTTGTAACCTTCTCCTGACTGATGCGTTTTAAGTCCTCATGCACACTGGACGTTTTTACAGCTGCTATTTTTGGCTTTTGGGGTTTTTTTTTCTACAGTCAGTAAACTCCCCATCATGTTATCCTATGTGTCCATGCACACACAGACTGTAATCAACGTTTTTTGGCTTAAAAAACCCCCAGAACTAGTGGGTTTCTAGAGTTTTTTTGGGGGTAAAATGTTTTCTTTGGTAAAACAAAAAGCTAAACAACGCAGCTAAATGCTAATGCAAAAACGCTGAAAAACTCACATTTTTTTTACGTGCCTTTACACAGCTAACATTACCAGCGTTATTAAAACTCCCAGTGTGCATGGAGCCTAATAATGAGATCCCTCTGATGCTTTCAACCGTACCTTGGCTTTTGCTGTAGGATGCGACTAAGAAAATGTCAGTGAAGACCTACTAGAACAGCTGAACTTTATTTTGGGATAATCAGAGGCACTTTAAATGATGGCAGGTGTGTACTGACTCCTGGAAAGGAAGCGCACAGGTGGTGCAAACACCTGGCACATTATCCAAGATTTATTGTACAAGAAAAAAGACAAAAAAAAAATACAATATGAAGTACATGCAAAACCCTTAACGCCACATAGTTGTCAGCTCTGAGGAAGGGGACACTTCCCTGAAACGCATCAGCAGTCCGACCGTACCACCAGTCGGACACTCTGCCATCATTGTGGGCCATCTACAGTATGTGGCGTTAAGGCTTTTGTATGTACTTCATATTGTGAGAGTGTTTTTTGTCTTTTTGTTTTTTTTCTTGTGCAATAAACCTTGGATAATGCGCTAGGTGTTTGCGCCACTTGTGTGCTTCCTTTCCAGTTTTGATGATTTCCCAGTCTGAGGAGGGTTGCACCATCAAGAATTTATCCATAAGCTCTGATCTCGTTGAACCCTCTGGCCTCTTCTTGGCATTCACCATCCTTTTTTCTGAGGTGCTGGAGAGAGAGTGCTTTACAGGGTGTGCACACTTATTCAACCACATTATTTTCTTTTTTTTATGTTTACTCACCCCCCAAAAGATTTCAGTTTGTTTTTCAATTGAGTTGTACAGTTTATAGGTCACATTAACCACTTGCTCTCCTGAGGATTTACCCCCGTTCCTGACCAGGCCATTTTTTGTGTTACAGCGCTGTGTTATTTTAACTGATAATTGCGTGGTCATGTAACGCTGCACCCTAATTATATTTCCGTCCTTTCTTTCCCACGAATTGAGCTTTGTTTCCGTGATATTTGGTCGCCTGTGCATTTTTTATTTTTTGCGCTATAAAAAAAAAAGACCAACAATTTTGAGAGAAAAAAAACGATATTTTTGACTTTTTGCTATTAAACATATCTTTGCTAAAAAAAATCCCAATACGTGTAAATTAATTGGTCTACGTGAAATTTATAGCGTTTACAAATGGCAGAATATATACTGGGATTTTGTTTGTTATTTTTACTAGGGTGGTCGGGAAGCTGTTAAGGGTGGAGAAAGTTCTGAAATGATTTATCTTTATCTCATTTTTTTTTACATCATAGAAACCTGACATTTTAACACGGGTGTGTAGACTTTTTATATCCACTGTATTCTGCTACATATTTGTGGTAAAAAAAATCCCAATAAACATACATTGATTGGTTTACGCAAAAGTTTTTTTTTTAATACTCCTAATGGCAGTGATCAGCGACTTCTAGTGGGACTGTGATAATGCAGTGGGCAATCTGACGCTAACTGACACTTTATGAGAACCAGTGACACTAAGAGAGTGATCAGTGCTAAAAATATGCACTGACACTGGCTGGGAAGGGGGGTTAAACATCTAGGAAGATCAAAGGGTTAAATGTGTGCCTAACCATTGTTTGTGTGTGTACTGTGAGGTGCTTTCACTAAGGGATGTGCTGGATTTTATTCCTTTTTTACAGGGAAACAAAATCCAGCACATCCTAGCTGACAGAACAGAGCTCTGCCTTGTTTACATAGGCAGAGCTCTGTTCTGTCATTTGCCTTGCTGATCAGCGGGTGCCAGTGGTCATCCATTTGCCGGCACCTACTGACTGGCTGGTGCTGTGTCTAATCACAGCACAGACGGGTCACCAGCAATGCATACACCCTACCCAGAAGTGCCGGATCATGTACTAGGTACGTGAGCCAGTGCAGGAGAGCCACTCTGCAAGTGGTTAAAAACACGCCAGTGCTCTTGACAGGAAAAAATGCTAATTTTGAGCGACTTTTGTGCTAGTGTTTAGGAGTGTTCAGTGTTTTTGTTTTTTTTTCCTGCTAGACAGACACTCTTAGAAATCCAAAACAGAAGGATTTTTTCTCTGCCTCAAAACGCTGAGCTTAAAAAACACTTCTAGATTACCTTATGTGCATGGACACCTCCTACCTTCATATACAGTATGTGATATGTGGTTCGTACCTGGCACTGTGCAGCTTGTCAAAGAGTGTTGGGTCATTTCACACTAGAATGTGTTGCAGGGGAGGTGCATTCTGTGCGTGTTTTTTGCATTACATGTGAAAGTGCCTTGGGAGACACACACGCTGCCATTCATTTGTAATGGTACCCCAAATGCATCCTTTGCAGCCACCAGACTGCATGGTGAGGCATGATTTGAAAAAGTAGTGCTTGCGTGTGCTTGGCAGTCTATTCAAATGAATGGGTTGTCAAAATGGGCAGGCAAGCATTCCTGTGTGAACCAGTGCGTTTTTGTAGTACAACATTGTATTTTTTTGACACATTTTTCATGCTGATGTGTTTTTTGGTTTTTTTTTTATGGGAGGAGGCTGGATTTTATACATATAATTGTGCCAAACATGCTGCAACTGCACCAAAGATGTGCTTGCACCTTTTCAAAAACGCACTGCATTGATGTAAATGGGCACCATAGAGAAAAATGTAATTTCTATTGTCGTGCAGTGCAACGCGGTATCAAACATAGGAGAAAACAGCTAGGTTCACACTTCTGCATTTTGTGTGTGTTTGCCTGGGCACAGTAGCCCATTCATTGGAATAGGCTGCTGTACCTTCGGGTAATGCAGGCAAAAGTCCCTGACCTTTTTTCTAGTGCGCACCCACAGGGCAGCTACAGGGAACCGCATGAGGTGTGTTTTCCAATGTAT